TATTATCCTAACTTTAATCTGAGGTATTATTTAATACTAAATGTTAAAAACTCTTGAAGGGAGGATTGGTGGGGGGAGGGTTGGGACTGACCGCGCGGTTGGAAGAGGGGGGAAGGCAAGGTGGGGTACTTTGATTGACAGATAGTGTCGTGAAGAATATTTTTTTTTTTTATTAACTGAAGATATTTTTTTTAGCTCATAAAATTCATACAAATTATCCGCCCAGAATATAATTTACATTGCTGGAATTCTTACAATTTGGTGATCATTTTGAATATAAACATCATAGATTTTGCATTAGGCATACAAATTTTAGATGTAAAGTTTATTCTGAGTAAATATGTTATCTTTTGTGAAAAATATATGACATTTGTATTCAAAATATTCCTGGTCTTACAAGGAATCCAGCAATGTCAATTATGTTATCCTAACTTTAGTTTGAGGAATTATTTATTACTATACCTGGTTTTCCCCCCAAAATTTCTCAGAGGGAAGAGCCAGCGAGTGTAGTGTGAGAAGAGGGGGAGGGAGTCGAGTCCATTATTTGAATGGACATTAACTTGGCGACTGTATTTCTCTATTTCTCTTAAGTGTTAATTGTGTGCATGTACCATCATAAAATTAAGATGTTATTTTTACTAGAACATAGGTATTGTGTCGGAAAAAGTGGAGTTTGGGGATGGGCCAGTTTCTATTGGAATTAATCCCATATGTTCTGTTGTTCACTTAAGGTGGTTTTCACTTAACATGGTACCCTGTGGGTTTTATTGACCGCGTTAAGTGGGGTACAACTGTATAGAGGTTGACAACCCTTTATCCGAAAACCGAAAGTTTTTTTGTGGAGCATTTTTTTTTTTTTTTTTTTTAACGGGATTAGGCCGCAGGCATAGATCAACTGACCCACATCGGAGAACCTGGTGGGCGAAAATATAATAGTAATATATATATATATATATATATATATATATATATATATATATATATATATATATACTCAAAATATGTATTGTAATTCCAGGCACACGAATTGGATCAGTGGGTGCACGTTATGATGGTGAATTAGAATATTCAGTCGAGTGGGGAGGTCATGAAACTTCTCCGCCAGTGTCTGTATCATCGCAGGGCACTTTGACCCTCACATCTTTGCTTGACCATGAAGATATTCACCGACTATCACTCATTGTCACTGCCCTACCTACAGACAAGCCTGAGTTGGCATCAAGTACCAATGTGGTTATTGAAGTAAGATATATTTCTGAATAATTGGAGTGTGTAGTGTGGTAGGGGATATCCTCTCCCTCATGGAGGAAGCCAGCTTTCTACATAAGCTTTGAGTTTGATCCATTAACATTTAAATGTTTTTATGAAAGTTTTATCTTATTTCTTACTTATCTTTTTTACCTTGCATTATTTGATATTAGTCTTTTAAACCTTTATTTTAATTCGGCGTCAAATGATCTAAGCTGTTGCATCGCCAGGGATGTAATTACCACAATCAATCAATCAATCAAATTTAGCCTTTCTTTACTTTGAGGGTTTTGCTATAAGGTCAGAGTAAAAGATGAATATGATATTACGTATACCAAATTAGACAACTATTGTACATATTTGTTTCCCTATATCTTTTCACACTCCTGTCTACAGTGCTTGTATGTATGGGTGGGAGTTGATGTTTGTGTGTCTTCAGGCAATATATATGTCTTTGTGGATATTTAAACACATGCCTTGTTTTTTTTGTTTACTGTATTCAAATGCAAATGTTTCTTAATTCATATGTAATATATATGTTTTTATTTACTAATTTATCTTTGAGGATGAATGTCAGCCAAAAATTTGAATTATTCCTTTATCTTATTATCTTCATGTTATTCTTGATACTAATATGAATATCATTTCTCAGGTTCAAGATGTAAATGATGAATCCCCAGCATTTGAGAGTGAGAAGTACTATGTATCTGTAGCCGAGAACACACCTTCTGGGTCAAATGTTGTCAAAGGTATGTGTTACTTGTATCTATGTACAATAAACCCCCCACTATATTTGACACAATTTAGCCATGTAACTTTTAGACCTTCATCTTAGGGAAAAAATGGAATTGCATTTCTGTACTGGGAAATTCATGACTGGTAAAATTTGAACTTATGGCTATCTCTGGGGAAATTTAGGTCACTCTACTAGCGACACCCTAATTTTTTCTCTCGAAACTGATAAGAAGTGAAAGTAAATGCAATACAGACTAGTTGTTCTCTGTCCATGCAGCACATAAAAAACACAAATTTTGGTGTAGCAATACAAACTATTTTGAGAAATGTTACCAAGAGAGAAGAGGTTTGGGTGTAAGTAAGGTGTAAAATGAGTTGTTTGGATGTGGTTCGGTCAGGGAGCTTTTCCTGCCCTCAGAGGCAGTTTTACTGTGTATGTATATATTGTGGTTGTGTGTGTGTGTGTATTTTGGTTGTGTTTGTGTATATATTGTGGTTGTGGTGAGTGTACTGTGGTTGTTGTGTATGTGGGAGAGTTGTGATTGTGCACGTGTGGTGGGGGATGTGGTGCGTGCATTGTTCTTAATGAAACACTGAGTGGACTTGAGGGTAAACTCAGCATTTTTAATACTTCATTTGCTTCTGATTATTTATGAGAAGATTTTTTATTCTTATTTATATGTATGTGTGTGTGTGTGTGTGTGTACACACACACACACACACACACATATATACAATACAGATAAAGGAAATTACTGTCTTTAGAGCGAATGGCTCCCTGTCCCAGCCGCAAAAATGCCAGCAACTTTAAAACTACCCAAAGACATTCTTGGGTACATCAGAGTGTCATCCGCGAATAATAGAGGACCACGAAATAAAAATCTGCAAATTATCCGGGTGTACTGTACTATTGCTTAACCCTGTACCATATAAAAAACTCTTATTCTACAGTACAGCATCATTGTTGAATATTTTGTTTCATTTGGCCTCTTTTCACTTTAGTATTATATTTTCAGTTTTCTGTCAATATTGACATAATCCAATGTATGCATTATTCTTACTATGCCTTTTGTATTTTGTACACAATATTTTAATGACAATATTTTTTTTCTGAACTCATGTTTAGTTCTCAAAGTCATTAAACTTTCTCACTTTCATTTCTAAAGCATCTTATCCTTATAGTTTTATTATCTTAAAACTCCTCCCCATCTTTGCATATTGATTACTCAGTATTGTATTGCATCATCTTCCTGTATTGGATAAAAAAATTTGACTACCATACCTGTACAGGTACATTTCAAATAGTTCTTGTATGTTTTGCCTCCATATAATCTATCACATTTTATCCCCTTGTAAGCTATTCACAACTTCAAAGTTTCTTTCATGCAAATGGCTCTGTAATTATTTGCATAATTCCAACATTGTAACTGACCTTCTAAATACAGTTTTCCACTGTCTTGAAATATTAATTTCTATAATTAAGGCACTGGAACAAAACCACATCTATTTTATTTATTTATTTATTTATTTACTGCATATTTACTGCATATTTACTGACAAAACTTGTTCCTAACATATCTTACAGTTTTTGCACATGACCGTGATGCAGGGAGCAACTCTGAGATCCGCTACATCTTGGAAGAGCAATCACCACTTGTAGAGGAACCTCTCTTCACACTTGATCCATACTCTGGGTGGCTATCCCTTAATCAAGAGCTGGATGCAGAGACAAAGTCAAAATATGATTTAAAGGTAACAGTAATTCTTTTTATCAAATTGACATTGAAAAATGAGTTATGGTTGTAGAACATGTAATACTGTCCACTGTGTTTGCCTATATAACTATGATATTCTTGTATGATACCAGAGACTGTTTGTCAGCGTGTTTTGAGACAGAGGGTCGTATTCAAGAACGTGGAGTGTAGGGTATCCATTTAGAAATCAATACCATGGGGAATGCCTACACCATCAGTGTAGTACGCATTCTATATCATTCAAATCGTGCGTCTTGCTGAAGGGCTGCCAACACATGAAAAGGAATGGTCTTTTTACCTACAGTACTTGTATATTTATATCTCCATTAATATCAATTTTCAGAAGAAATACCATAGAAGAAAATCAGTTCAGGATTAAATTCTACAGATTTTGAACCTATTGTCCTCCTAACCTAATTATTACCGAAAACTTTAAAAAGTTACCTTTAAAACTTTGCAAAAGATGTGCAGGTTAATGAGCAACATTAGAAATTTTTCAATGGAAGAAAACTTCTTCTTTTTCTCAAGAATATCCCAAATATTGTAGAGAAATCAATTTTTACTAAATCTCACCTAACCAAAAGAGAAAAGCCAAAAAACCTAAAGAACCAAATGTAACGAATTTCATATATCAGGATACAGTCGTGTTGCATCTCGTGTGCATTTAACCTACGCACATTCACCAAGATGGATGGTCTACACCAGTTAATTGGAAAATTCATGTACAATTGTGTCACATCTTACGCAGGGGATACGTTATGAAGAGGGTGCATAAAAGCAAGAATAAAATGTAGTATTTACCAATTACACTTTCCAAATTAGATGATCTCCCACCAATCACATTTCAGGATGCAAAATAGACATGCTAAGCCTCACCATTTCCTCTAATATGTCATGGAAGCCACACATCCACAACATTGCTAAAGCTGCCTCCCGAAAGCTGGGAATGCTGTACAGATGCCGTAGCTACTTCACTCCTGAGCAAGTGCTTCAAGTTTATAAAGGATTCATTTGTTCTAACTTGGAGTACTGCTCTCATATCTGGGGTGGCTCTTTTCTGTCCAACTGTTAGATAAGGTGGACTCATAAGCAATTTGTCTTATTAACTCTCCTCCTTTAGTTGATAATCTTTCTTCCCTTTCTCTTTACTGCAATGTTGCTTCACTCTCTCTTTTACAGGTACTTAAACGAGCAGTGTTCGGTGGATTTGGCATCCTGTGTAACACTGGCAAAGCCGTGGGCTCGTAACACTCGCCTTGCCCGCGGCTGCCCACCATTTCTCTGTGGATGCAGGTCACGCTAGAATAACCCGTTATAGTACATCTTTCTTTCCTCACACAGCCAAACTGTGGAATGCTCTGCATTCTTCTTTGTTTCCATGCTCATACAATCTGTCTCACTTGAAAAAGCTGGTTGTCCGGCATCTTTGTGGTGTAGATTAATATAATCTTTTTCTTTTCTATTTTTAATTTCTTGTTACTCTTATTTTTTTGCCCCTTAGGCCCCATTGTGGGCCGTTGACCTGTGTCGGATGGGCAATTCCCCATAAAAAGAAAAAATGCAAGATACAAAAGCTGAACAGAAATTGAACGAATAATCAAATCCAAAAATTTGGAAATTGTCGAATACAGTGGTCCCTCGGTTAACGAGCACAATCCGTTCCAGCAGGTTGCTCGTTAACCGAAACCATTGTTTCAATGGGTTTTTGGGTAATTGGTTCCAGCTCACCGAAAATTGCCTAAATTCAACAAAAAAGGTAGAAAAGTTCACTTACTTTGAGGTGTGTATGTTGAAGGCTCCTGGATGATGATGTGAATTTGAAGTGGGAGGTGGAGGAGGAGGAGAAGGGAGAAGAGAAGGAAGTGGAGGTGGAGGAGAAGCATTTTACTGCTTCTTGGAAGGTGAGTCACCTTCCATGAAAATGTCAGGAACCTCTGGACTGACAGATTCTCCACCATGAACATCCTCTCTCCTTCTTGAAGTGGAAGGCTGAGGGATAGCATCTTGTTCCCTCTGCCTTTTACTGAAGAAAGTGTCAATTGTGGTCTGTGGGGCATCTGTCCTCCTCACCATTAACTTATGTTTAAAGAAGAAGACCACTGAGTCCTCAACATGACACAAAGTTAGTTCAGTTTTTTCCACTTCTGGGTGCTTTGAAGCCAGTTCCCTGAACTTCTCCCAGTGGTAAATCACATCTTTCAACCGTTTAGCTGACATATGGTCATCACTTTCAATTTCCTCCTCACCACTGTCAACCTCTACCTGTAACATCTCATCCAGTTGCTTCAAGTCATCAGGAGTAAGTTCCTCCTCATGAGACATCACAAGCTCTTCCACATCCTCCTCCACTTCAAGGCCCAATGACTGACCAATGGACACAATCTCCTGGTCCAACTCTGTTTCTTCCTCAAATCCCTCAAAATCATGGACTACTGATGGCCACAGTGCTTTCCATGAAGAATTGAGGGATCTAGTGGAGACTTCTTGCCATGATGACACAATCAATTTTACAGCCTCCAGGATGTTGAATTGTGTCTTCCAGAAATGTTTCAGTGTTAGTTCAGGATCATTGGAAGTTGCCTGATGACACCTCCTAAACATTTTCTTCATGTACAACTTTTTGAAGTTGCTGATCACATTCTGGTCCATTGGCTGTATGATTGATGTAGTGTTTGGAGGCAAAAACAACTTTTTCACAAAGTCAAATTGATACTCCAAATTTCTGGCAAGGTCAGGGTCATGACCAGGAGCATTATCCATGAGGAGAAGAGCCTTTAAAGGGAGTTTATTGGTGGTTAGGTGGCTCTTGACAGAAGGGCAAAACACATCAACAGCCCATTCATTAAAGAGCTGTCTTGTCACCCATGCCTTACAGTTGGACTTCCAATAAACTCCAAGCTTTGTTCTTACCATTTTCTGTTGCTTGAACACCCTGGGGTTTTCAGAGTGGTAGACAAGCATAGGCTTCAGTCAGAAATCCCCTGAAGCATTGGCACCAAGCAATAGAGTGAGACGGTCTTTCATGGGTTTATGCCCAGGTAAAGAGGCTTCATCTCTGGTGATGAATGTTCTTTTGGGCATCTTTTTCCAGAACAGCCCAGTTTTGTCCACAATGAACACTTGCTGTGGAAGATAATTTTCTTCTTCCATCAGTTATTTAAATTCATCTAAAAACTTTGCTGCCCCTTCCTTATCAGCACTAGCAACTTCACCATGCCTAACAACACTGAAAATGTCACTTCTTTTCTTAAATTTTTCGAACCTGCCTTTGCTGGCCCGAAAATCTTCAAATTCTGTGCCTGAAGAACCAGGTTGATCTGTCTTTAAATGTTTGTAAATCTCCCTGGCTCTTTCACAAATGAATTCAGTAGAAACTGAATCACCTTTCATCTGTTTGTCCCTAATCCAGATGATAAGTAACCTCTCAGTTTCTGCAATTAGGGATCTACTTTTAAACACTCTTGTAGATTTGTCTCTCACTTTCACTTCTTCAAATTTGTCTTTCTGTGCAAGAATTGTCGACACAGTAGATGTCGACATGCCATATTCTTTGCATAGCGCATTTGTTCTAGTGCCTTGTTCATGTTTTTTTATGATTTCCTGCTTGGTTTGGATTGAAATTGCTTTTCTTGATCTCTTAGGCCCCATGCTGGATTCAAACAATGTCAACACGTGCTTTTTAAAGTTAAACTTGTTGTAAATAAAGAACATTTTCTTTAAAATAATACTGCACTGCGCTATATATTGTCAATATGTAAAATAAATTTCAAAATGACCAATAATTTGCTTGGAAACACAGGAAAAAAGCGTTTAGTTGAAGAGAGTCTCGAGCAAGATGTTGCCTCCAGTGAAAACAGAGAGAGACTAACGCCTGTTTGCTGTGTTAAGAGGCTGGATGCCGCGCATTAAACTAGTCACTTTACCTGCAATTATGTTCAATAATTGTTAAAATGACTAAAAAATTTAATATTAAACTTTTAAAATTATTGAATAATATAAACTTCTTGATATTTACTAAAATAGTAAGGAATTTAAGCCCTAGAACCGATTAATGTATTGGCGGACTAATACTACAGCTGGTTGACCGCCCAGTGCAAGCCAAAACTTGTTGAGGTCGGCTCGTAAGAAACTCGTTAACCGAATTTAAGAATCTTATGGGAGGTAACAGTAATGTCAAAATATTCCAAACTCGGTTAATTTGGATTTTTAGGTAATTCGAGTGACCCAGAGCCCCTCCCTTTTTTTTTAATTAAGGAAGATGTTGTGTAAATATATAAATTATGAACATAGTTTTTCATAGGGCTTGTTCTTAAAGTGCTGTCCCCTTTTCTCATGAACATTACAGTAATCCATAGGCAGTTAATACAAATATCTGTAGGCATTCGCTACATCATGGGCTTTCACTACGCTTCTTGAATACCAACCGTAGGCATAGCTTAAAGGGATACCTCCATATTCTTCAATACAGTCCATAGAGCGATGCTGTACATGGAATCTTTATCCAAAGCAAGTCTAATATGTCTTCATTTTCAGGTTCTTGCCAAGGACAATGGCACTCCACAAAGAAGTTCAACAACAAGTATTATCATTGAAGTAATTGATTACAATGACAATGCTCCTCAATTTGTTAAGGAGAAATATCATGCTTCAGGTATGTGTATCACGGGTGTTGTGGATAGTATTGTACATTATAAAACAGTACGTATGTACACTTTTGACATTATTCTTGAATTCCGTATTTGGTTTGAAGTTAAATTTATATTCCTAAATATACTGTAATTACATATACTCAATAAATGAAATATATTCAATGGACTTTCATGCGAGTTTATCTGCTTCATTACTGCAATTGGCTCTACTTAGAGTTTAAAAAAAATTTATTCAAGCTTCAATTGAGTGACGTATTTTCTCTTTCAGTAAGGGAGAATGCTCTCCCTGGAACAGTTGTAGTGCAGTTGGAAGTTCTTGACTACGACTTAGGGGGAGGGGCCTTGGATGGAGAAATGGGACAAGGCATCATATATTACCTCACTGCTGGAAATGCCCTTCAACACTTCCATGTCCGAGGAGGGGGCCAAATATATGTTGCTAAAGCTCTTGATTGGGAGTCAGTGGACAATTATGCTTTAGAAGTTACTGCAACAGATGGAGTCTTTGTTGCAAAGTCTTGGGTCTTCATTCAAGTTTTAGATGTTAATGGTAAGCTAATATTTTCAGTATCAATATCATGTGTTTCACTTCACTGATTATCTCATTATTATCATTATTTTTATTTTTCTGCGTTTATCTCTGTTCAGTCAATAGTTTACTGCTTAGAATACCATTGGATGGTTTATTTGCAAAACTTATGGTAGAGTATCTATCATCCACATTGGCATTTTCCCTTTTTCAGTTTTTATCATATTTATTTTTATTTATTTATTTTTTTTTTTCAGTACAGTATTGTACTGTAATTGGTTATACAGTACAGTTGGCCCTTAACATATGCGGGGGTTACGTAACAGAGATACCCAGGGATGTTAAAAATCCGCGTATTTTTGCTGCCCCTGGCCCCCCCCATATCCTTATTTACCGTATATACCTGTGTGTAGTTCGAGTTTTTAAGACCAAATTATTTGGCAAAATACTGGGGGTCGACCTCTAAATGGGTAATAGTTTCGTTAGGTTGAAAAATATTTACCAGTAACTACCAGTAAACAATGGAAACGATGCACCAACGCACCACCAGCTGTGAATGTCGGTACAGTTGCCAGGGCAGATCTTTTGCGCCATCATAGCAAGCCCAAAGTAGCCAAATCCATGGTATGGTAGCACAGGACGATGTAAAACATAAAGTATTCATTTATTAAAGTTTATTTATAGATACTGGACATAAATTTTTGTTCATTACATTTGAAACATCAATCTTTGTTAATTAAATTTGAAACAAAAGAAAACTACGATACCGTATTTTCATTAAAATATTACATCACAAGTATATTTTACCTTAACTGTGACTGAATGAATATACGTATTCTCAGAAATAAATTTGGAAATATAATATTTTTGCTGGAATGACGTACATATTACAGTGGAAAGTGGGATAAAATCATGACGAAAACAATGACTTTCGCTTTCTTTCGTTATTCAAAAGATTTTACCGTAATCGCTTTTCGAATGGTTTTCAGTTAAAAAACTGTTGTACTCGTACTGTATTACAATAATATATTCTATCCTATCATTAGCCTTATAATCCCACAACTGAAAACCATTCGAAAAGCGATTACGGTAACATCTTTTGAACGAAAGAAAGAGAAAGTCATTGCTTTCGTCACAATTTTATCCCACTTTCCACTGTAATACGTACATCATTTCAGCAAAAATATTACATTTCCATGTTCTCAGAAATAAATGGTAGTTTTGTTGAAACGTAATGTACAGTATTTAATATTAAAATGCAAAAATAGCTATAAAAACAATTAATACACCCGTAATGTACTGGCTGGCATCTCCACTCATCCCTGCTCCCGCGTCCAAGGTCACCACTCCTCCCAACTCGCTCCCTCCTCCGCCTCCTCCACCTCCTCACCGTCACTACTGCCGACAACAAACACAAATGTTTTGTGAATAACTGCACCTCCACTTCCGATGTACAGTACTGAACTGTACTGTGCTGTGCTGTGCATTTTTACAAACAATAAACATGGCAAGAAAAGCTATAAAAAAAAGAGATAATAATTTTACTTTACTGTACAGTACCTATCCTCGGCGACAGGACGGGGGTCATCGGGCTGATCGTCACTCAATTCCATAACGGGTGGTGAAGTGGGGGCGACGGTGGATTCAGCTGCTTCCTCACTGCCGCCAGTGATTGATGGTGTTAAATCTCTCCTTCGGTGATCAAAGAACATGGTGATGGGGAGTTGTCGTCTCTTTCTTTTCATTTCTTCCATGATGTTTTTGTATGGAGCAAAAACGTCATCCATCCCTCGCATGAATTTCAGGGCACCCACCATGGAGGGGACCAAACTATAGGCCAGGTTTTTCAGTGCCTCAATATTCCTGGTCATCTCCCCCAACTTCTCCAACGTTATTTCTTGGTGCTCTTCCTCTTCCTCATCCTCTTTCCCTTTCGCTTCCTCTTCCTCTTCCTTGCCTGAGTCTACTAACTCCTGTAGATCCTCCTCGGTCAGCTCAGTGTCGTGTTCTTCAATTAGCTCCCTAATTTCGTCCTCTGCCATGTCCTGGAAGCCTTCAGCAGCCACTTTCCTTGACAGTGCCAGGGTCTTTCTGAATATTTAAATTAAAATCCATCAAAATCATTTTCCTTGTCATCGTCTTAAGCACCAAACAGCTCCTCCCAGTCTTCTCCTTGAACAGGGCTAGAGGGTACGTGTTTTTCGAATCGTTTTCAATTAAAAAATGTTACAGCACATGTATATTTTACCTAAACTGTGCCTGAATGAATATATTCTCAGAAATAAATAGTAGTTTTGCTGAAACGTGATGTATTTCAATGTAAAATAGGTTAAAATACATGACAAAAACAAAAGACTTTACCTAACCTTCCAATGTTCAAGAGATGTTACTCGTTTTTTTAATGGTTTTCGGTTAAAATACTGTTATAATACAATGATATTCTATTCGTACTGTGCTTGATATACTACATTCACGGAAATGTAATATTTTTGCTGAAATGACGTACGTATTACAGTGGAAAGTGGGATAAAATCGTGACGAAAACAATGATTTTCGCTTTCTTTCGTTCAAAAGATGTTACCGTAATCGCTTTTCGAATGGTTTTCAGTTAAAAAAACTGTTACATCACAAGTGAATTCAGATAGAATATTATAGTAATACAACAGTTTTTTAACTGAAAACCATTCGAAAAGCGATTACGGTAACATCTTTTGAACGAAAGAAAGCGAGTCATTGCTTTCGTCACTTTCCACTGTAAAACGTACGTCATTTCAGCAAAATATTACATTTCCATATTCTCAGAAATAAATACAGGTTGTACCTCTCTAGTCCGGCATTCTGTGGTCCGGAAAATCCCGTGGTCCGGAACGATTTTAGTTTGTCCAATAGGTAGATAGGCAGCTTTTTTTTTTTTTTTTTTTTTTTTTTTTTACTTATTTGGTGTGTGTATTACAGGAGTATTAAATTTTGCCCTCAGGCCCTAATGTGGGTCAGTGGCCTATTCGAATTGGGCTAATCATAAAAAAAGCCGCGGGAAATTAAGGTTTGTTTACATCCGGCAGTTCGGCTGCTCTCTCTCTCTCTGCTTGTCTATACAGAGTACAACATTTAACCCTTCAATATATATGAGCAGTAGATAAGTGTTGCTTTCATATTCTTATGTAGAGTAATGACATATGTTTTCACATGTGCGCACTTACATACGAGCAGTCTCACTTTTTATTTTACCATTAATGGTTAGCTACTTATATTGTTCCATTTATTAACATTAAATAACATTACAGGTACTTCAAACAACCATATTAATTTTTTTACATTAATTTTACTACAGCTAAAATCAGGGTCTTATATTCTTCAGTTTTATATGTAGTACCAATCAGCACTGGTTTCGTAAGCTTTAACATAAACAATGCCGGCAGCCGTCTCGTCTCCTCTAATATTCCACGTATTATTAAAAAATTGTATTGTTAATTTAGCACACACGTACATTAATTCAATAAAAACAAATTCAGAAACATTAATTAAACTATATATGAACAGTAAATAAGTGTTGCTTTCATATTCTTATGTAAAGTAATGATGATATGTTTTCACGTGTGTGCACTTACATACGCGATCTCTCTTTTTTTCTTTACCATTATCGTTACCTACTTCTATTGTTCCATTTATTAACATTAAATAACGTTACTTAAAACAACCATATTGACTTTACTACAGCTACAGCCAAGGTCATATTTTCTTCAGTTTTATATGTAAAACCAGTCAGTCACTGGTTTTGTAATCAACGAAAACAATGCTGTGTCATTTCCTCGTGTGTTCTAATATTCTACGTACTATTAATGAATTGTATTGCTGATTTTGCACACATAAACATTAATTCAATAAAAAAGACATTCAGTAATAAACAAAAATGAATCTTTTGTACGTAAGAGAAATGACGCTGTTTACACGATTATGCACGTCGTCTGCACGTTGGCGGGCCGTTCAAACCCGTCGAAATTCAAGTTTCCGCCGTCAAAATTTGTATTTATTTATTTTTTTTTGTTCCAATAAAATACGTTAAGAATTAAAAACTCGCGAAATTTGAGAAGCTACTATACATTTAACCCTTCAATATGTCTTCAAAGAGACCATGATGCAGAGAAAGTGGTGCTAGTGCTTCCAAGCATAAGCACAAGTCACTATCTATCCAGGAAAAGGGTGAATTTCCATGGTCCGGCACCGGTCAGGTCCCGAGGTTGCCGGACTAGAGAGGAACAACCTGTAGTAGTTTTGCTGAAACGTAATGCATTTCAATGTAAATTAGGATAAACTACATGAAAACAAAAGACTTTACCTAACCTTCCGATGTTCAAGATATATTACTCGTTTTTTTAGTAGTTTTCGGTTAAAATACTCTTATATTAGTGATATTCTATTCATACTGTGCTTGATATAATACATTCACGGAAATGTAATATTTTTGCAACTACAATGCTGTTGTCAACACAAGCGTGGTTACAGCGAGACTGACTGAGTGAGGGAGAGCTATGCGTGTGTGTGTGTGAGGTTGCGGGAGCGGGCGGTGTCCCGTGTTCGGTGCCGCGTGCGAGTTGAATGGCGCGCGATTTGAATGTACTTCAATTACTTCAATGTACAGAATATTCCTCCGGCGGGGCAATCCGTGTATGCTAAACCCGCGTATGTTAAGGGCCGACTGTA